TCATTCAGACCCTCATTACCTCAAGTCCATTGTAAATAACTTTTACTACAGGGACATCTGTGTGGCTCAGTCGGTTAAGTGGCTGCCTTCGGCTCAGGTCATGATCCCAGTGCCCTGGGATCGAGTCCCACACTGGGTTCCCTGCACAGCGGGGAGCCTGCCTCTCCCTCTGCCCCTCCCCCTGCTTGTGCTTTCTCTCTCTCTCTCGCTCTTTCTGACAAATAAATAAATAAAATCTTAAAACACACACACACACACACACAAATAAATAAATAAATAACTTTTACTACTCATTATATGGGACATCCTGTGCCTCTACTTCTCCTTCTCAGGGTGGTATACGAAGAAATGATTTAAAAGTGCCGATGTAGTGCTGGTATACTTGTAACCAGACAGAATAGAAGGAATAAGCTGCTTTTCCATACTGGCCAGCAAGGACAGGGCTATTTTATATAGTTCTTTCTCCTTACTTCCAAGAAACTTATACCAACAGAAGCCAAGCTCAGCTTTGGTCTAATATTTCAGAGTCACCTTACCAGCTTTGGTTTCCCTGACTTCTGGGGCTGTGTGTGCCTTTCTGGGTCATTGGTGGGCTTCTTCTGTCATCTTCTCTGAGTATCCCGAGGAGTCTAGAGCAAGAGGTGCATCATGAGGTATGTGGGGAATGTGTAATCCCTTTGTGAGAAATAATTCTCTGACCTGTGGATCATTCTCACCAAACAAGTCCCAAGAGGCATTAGGAGCCACAGATATATGGCTTTGTGGACAAGACATCTCAAAGGCGATCCCGCTGTCTGAGTAGCCCACAGGAGCTTCCTGTAGATGCTCCTAGCCTCAGGTCTCTGAGGCTATTCAGTTTGAGGTAACATTTATTTGTTTGCATGTTTGATAGTTGCCTTTAAGAAACCAAAACCTCATGATGCAAAACAGGACTATGCCTTATTCATCTCAGCCTCTTTCTCGTCTCAGCACTTATAATATCTGGCACACAGCAGTTGATCAATAATTATTGATTAATTCATTGATTGGCTCTTGGTCAATAATAACTCATGTTTATTGAGTACTTGCTCTCTGCCACACATGGCTCAAAACGCTTTACAGGTATTAACTCATAAAATTAATTTATTTAATCCACATAACAACACTGCCATCCTTACTTAACAGCTGAAGAAGGCGAGGCTTGGAAAAGTTAAGGGAACTTACCTAGACATATATAAGGAGTTAGTGGAAAAGCCAAGAGTTGAGTGTAGGCAGTCTGACTCCTGAATCCCGACTCTTAATCATACCAGCACTGCTTTCTTGATAAAAGGTGGATCAAGATTATAAATCAGTAGTTAGTAAGGTTGTTGGTGGTGAAGGTGGTGGTTGTGAGAGGGTGGTAGCTCATAGCCTCAGCTATCCCAGGGATTTACCCCAGAAAAAGGAAACATGCAAAATGGATTCCTACAGCACCTTGGTTATGAGTTGGCCAGGCCAGGTCACCAGATCAAAGGGGAGCAGGAATCCAAGGTAGACATTCTTCTTAATATTAAAACCTGGGTCACTGGCCTGAGTTTCCTCACAATGCTTCCTATAAGCATTGTGGGAGCAGCAGAAGCTGAAACCAATTCCTAATGAAGTATATCTATATCTGCCTTCTCGTATTTTCTCTCACTATCTTGTTGCCATCCCATCTGCCCAATTGGACTGGAAGCTCTTTGAGGATAGACATCTTTAAGTTTCAGTTGGTTCCCCATAAGACTAACTCCATATTTGCTAATTGATTAATAGGTTGGAATTTGGTTAAGGTTAGAAATTAGAAGGCAAGATACATTTAGCCAGATGTTTTCAAGCTAGTGATCTGTTCTCCTAAGACCGAGGCAGTGGCTGTCGTGGAGCTGAGCACTCAAACAGCTGTTGCACATTTTGTGGTGGTGACTGTGGAAGTGACTCTGGTTCCAGGCAAAAACAAAGGTTCTGACCTTCTCTGGTATCAGCTATGACCAAAGGGCCAACTTCTGCCTGGCGCTTAATAATCACCTTGAGTTGGTGAGAGATCTAGTTCCTTCCTCTGCAGTCAGAGGATGAGGAAGGGCTAGTGACCAAACACCCTTCTGGAAATTACTATCCATGTAGAAGATTTAGGGGCAGGCTCAAGGGGAAACAGAAGATTTTGACTACTCATTCCCCAAGCTAAAGGGCAGGCATTTAAAGACTTACCTACAGGGAACACTTAGTCTGTTCTGGTCACAAATGTCTTCTCCAGAACTTCCCATTTCCTCATTCTTTTCCAGTGCAGCGTGGCTTTCTCACCCACTTCACTTCAGAATTCAAATTTCTGATCCAATTTTCTGCCTCCTCCGATGCATCCACTTAAATAACCAAATCTCCTCCCTTCTTTGGGCTCCCTTGAAAACTTATGAGTAAAATTTGAAAGAAAGTCAGACCAAGATTGCTTCCATCTCTACTCACCTCCATTGTAAAAATCAGGAATCCCTTTACAGTTAAAATCCTCTCAGGATTACAAAAGCAGGGAAGTGGCCTTTGGTCTTCTGGTTTTATAGAAATCACTGAGGACGGACGACTACTCTACTGCCTATGTTTCTCATTATGTGTGCTACAGGAAAGGAGGCTTTAAAAATATACTAATTGGGATCACTGGAAAGTTTAAATTTTTTCTCATAGGTAGTTTCAGGGTTTATTCAGGACAGCTTTGTGGTCCATCAGACCCTTGAAACCGAAGACTTGAAAGGATTAAACAAAACCAAACAAAACGGTACATCCTTCACAAACCTGAGACCAATCTATGACATTTGGAAGACTGTCAGTTATTGAAGCTTCACTGTTTACACTGGAAGTAAGAACTGGCACATGATTATAACGAGCCTTGCCCCCTGGGAAGTAGTCAAGGCAGATATCTATTGGGTTGTCTCATAAGACAGTGATTCTTCTCTGATGACTACCCTGCCCTGCTCCACAGGGGTAGAATGAGGCAGCCATATCTGCACAATGTGGGCCAGAGGTGAACAACTGGTCTAAGGTGAGCCAATCAGGGGTTCCTTCCTTTGATTAGAGGAACGAACTCAAAAGAGAGATTCATTGTTTCCTCAGGTGGCTGTAAACTTGGGTTCTCTTGGTAGCCATGTTCTCTGATATGTGCACTTGAGAAGCAGGAGCTGGTGTGCAGACAGATGATTCAGACATTCAGAGGGAGGAGGGGAATTAAGAGACAGGGAGAAAGAGAGCTTCCTGGTTTCCCCACAGCCTTCTACTTCCTGGCTCCAGTTTGCATCTGCATTTCTGCCCTTAGGTTCTGTGAAACACCCCTGTACCTTTAAAACAAGTTCCCCATTGCTGGCTTGAATAGGTTTCTATAGCTTACAACCAACAGACTCCAAATTGACAAAAGAGTGGTGTTTTCCTTGCAGGTATTTCATAAAAAAAAAATCCACACATTAGACACCAAATTTGAATATAAGCATACTACTAGTAATAGAGGTATAAATGGTAGTATACATTTAGAGTTGTAATGCTCTTAGGGGCCATCATTTTATAGATGTGAAAAGTGGGGCCCAGGAAGGCTAGATCTCTTGCCAGGGTCCCATCTGTGTCTGAACCGGGTCTTTGGGCACTTGACTCTTAGCCCATAGCTCTTTCTCTACTACCCACTGAATTTGACTGAAAGATTGTATTTACTTTCACAACTTGTGCACATTAAAAAATAGGCCACTGACTCTTGCATATTCTTGCCCCTATTGTTTTTGGATGAAAAGCTGAAATGACTTCAACAAGGCTATACGTTAACAGAAGTGCAACTAGAATTTATTCGCGGGCGGGAGACTCCATCCAAGAGGCCAGACTTCTCTGTCCAGGCATCCAGCTCACTGCTGATCCAGTTAGACCGGCAAATCCATCATGGCAGGGGTTTTAGGGTCTTTCATCTATTCAATAAACATTTACATACTCAAATGGGCACTGTTCCCAGGCCAGGAGATACGATCACTTTGGTTGGTCTGCCTCCTGAGTGTAGGGAGGGGGCCTTAAAGAGCTTCTTCATCTGCTGTCTGTACCTTTGAGGCTGGGAGGTGGGGGCCATCCATGGACATCTGGGGCATGTGGGGTGGAGGTGAGATAAGATAATATTGCTAGAGAGAAAACAGATGGTGGCTTTTTGACAGTGTCACCTGAAGAGCACACTGCCCAAAACATGTAAGATGGAGGGAAGAAGTGACTGATGGGAACGAGCAGGTGAACATCGAGCTCCCGTGCAGTGGTTGTGAGAACAAAATGCTCCAGTCTCAGTGCTCATTTCCTTGTGGGTCTTTCCCTCCAGCTAGAATGTGGGTCCTTCAGGGGGAAGTAGTATCACTTGTTTATTTATTTTCTGCATTCCCAGCATATATCAGAGCGCGCTGGGGATCCAAAGGAGCTTTTAGTTAAGAGGTCAGAACAGAGAGGAGAGCTTCCCTAACGAGATAATTTTTAAATGAGTCTTGGCAAGGTGAGATTGAACTTGGGTGGTGTCTGCCAGAAATAGACAGGGGGCTTGACAGAGTCTAAGGAAGTCTTTGCTCTGAACCATATGTTACAAGGTTCCTCCTCATGAGACACATATCTGTGATTATGGAAATGTAGGAATGTATCTAGGAGCGGGCACTGGCATTAAATCTGATAGCCTAGGGAAGGAATATAAATGCAGAAATGGGAAGATGGGGGGCAGGATAGTATAGTGAGTTTCTATGGGTCCAAAGTCCTCTGAAGTAGGGGTGTTTTTGAACCCACCATGTTTTGGGTTAAAAAATGCCACAGTTCCCCCTGGGTTGAAGGTACAATAATGTTAGCAACAGGGATGCCATACACGATCATGAGTGACTATCTCTGTGTCATGTTAAGCAGTGAGATTTAAAGTTTATTTCTTTAACAAGCTTATCTATCCCTTCGGTAGATCATTCATTTACCCATTTTTGCATATATTCAATGTGTCATTTATACATTTATCAGGTACCTATATCATGGTGGGATAAGTTAGAGGAAACACAAAGACAAATTCATATACGATTTTGCCATTAATGACTTCTTAGCTCTGAGTGCAAAACTGTTAGGTTTTCTATCATCCTTGGCCATAATGATAACAAGCAGCCTCTGGACATTAAAAGGTACAGAACAAACTGGGCGGTGACCACTCACCTGCAGCTGGATGAAACACTAATCAACTGGTCTGGACCACATTTCCAAGGTTACCAGGAGTCCTGAAAACTTCTGTGTAATACGTTGAGTTTTTCATTCATCTATTTTTATTTTATGGTGCAGGAATTTGGTCGAAGCTATCGACGACAGCAACAAAACTCACTGTTGAGAAGGTTGGCTGCGGAGAAGAATGCTAGGACGACTCGGATACATCACCCCAGGAAAGGGGGGACTATCCTGTCACAGCCCAATTGGTGGTGTCTCACCATCGATCTTTGGCAAGTTGTACTGGAAAGGGATGGTCAGAGTTCCAAAGTGCAATATTGTATTTCCAATTAAAATGTAAAAACAAACCTTTCTCATAAAGCACATTGGCCTCAGCACTGGGAAGTGACTACAAAGCCCACTGCTGATTGAGAAAAGCTGAAAGCAGACACTGTAATTGATAAAGGAGATAAGTCAATCTGTGTCCTTTAAAGAATAATGAGTTCCATTTTTCATCAAAAAGATCTCCTTGTGCCGAAGAAACATTCTTTCAATAAATCTACTTAATGGTTTCCCCTCTAATGATATATAACATCGCGCTTTGGAACGAGCTTGGAGCATCCTGGCCGGTTCCCGCAAGGGTCTGCAGGCCACCCAACATTTGCATTGCTAATCCAACCCAAAGAAAACCCCAAAGGTTCCCAGACAGCGCTGCATTCCCCCCGGGGTGGGGGCGGGGGGTGGAATATCTAAAAGCTTTCCCAGGCTCTTCAAGCAGGTAGATGGGACAGAATTTTTAGATCATTCCCTCCCCATTAAACTTGAAGTCCTATGCAAATTTACATCCCCCCTTGCCCCCGCCCTCCCCCCCCCCAACCGAGCCGACTGCCACCCTGGTGTGTTAGGGATACCTCAGCTCTGAGGGTGGCTCAAGAGTTAAAGGTTTCAGATATTTGGGTGGTGAGAACTGATGAGCTCGTTTGTTCCCTGGGCTCACCCCTCTCCGACAGCCCTGACGGCCCCGGTGTTGTTCAGACCGTGGGCTGCAGGAGGTAGTCCGTGTTTATTGTGTTTGGTAAACTGAAGCTCCACTTTAAAGACCCGGCCTGAGGGAGTGCTGTGTCCAGGCCCTCCCCGCCGCCAGCCGAGGGCCTAAGCTTACTCAGGTGGTAAAGGCAGAGCAGAAGAGACAGCCTGTCCCCTGGTAAGGGAAGGGTCCAGGGCCCTCCGTGCCCTGGTGCTAGGCAGCAGGACGGTGTTGCCCAGCTCAGCCTGGCTTGACTTGCGACCCCCTCCCCAACTTTACAGACCACAAGCACCCAGCTTTGTGTAACAAAACCCATTTCCTCCAAGGGCACCCAGCCCTCCCAGTACTGGCGGACTTCCCCACATGGGACTCATCAAAAACAACCCTCGAGTTATTTCCTTATGTTGCTGTTTGTTTATTCTCCAGTCGCGTGTGAGTCAGCCGATCATAATTTGTGGTGGTTTTGCTTACGAAATCTTACATAATTATATTTCTCTTGTCATGTTGGGTCGAGCCGTGAGGCCATCGAGCGTCTTCTCATTGCACAACGCGGGCGAATCAATACGGAGAAAGGCCGAACAATGAGGGGACGCGGCTGCCCAGGAAGCCGGGCTCCTAGTCACCCAGCAGGCGGCCCGGCCAAGCAAGGCCCCCGCGCGGCCCAGGAGGACGAGGCCGGCTGGCGGCCTCCGTCCGGCCTGGGGCTCGCGCAGGGGCGCCTCAAGAGAGGCGCGCCCGGGAACGAAAGAAGAGCAATGACAACACTGACACAGAAACCGACCACATTTTTACTGCATTCGCGGCCCGCCGGGTTCCACCATGCTGGTCCCGAGCGTGGCTGGCTACACGCCGGCAAGACGCGGACGGGGTGCCTGATCCTCCTCACCGTCCCAAGTCCAGAGGCAGCTACTGAGAACACGCTCGAGGCAAAACGGAGAGTGGCCACGACACACGGATGAGGCTGGGTGCGCTTTCCACGGCAGAACGTGGAGTCCAGAGAAACGGGGTGTGGAGGCAAGACGCCTCCCTGCTGGCGCCTCGTGTTGCGCGCTCAGAACCCACAGCCGGCTGGTTTCGCTCGATTCCCGGAGTATACTGAAACTAGTTGTTCCTAACGTTATTTCGTATCTTAAATAAATATCTGACCTGGTTTAAACCTTGCTTGTTTGCATACATCTTTGAGGCGTGCGCCTTAAAGTTACTCCTATTGATACTCAGGATGAAGATTACAAATACCGGCATAAAAAGAGAAACCGCGTGACTATATGAAGACAACAACCATCACATTCCACAGCACGTCATTGGTTAATCTTTGAATCATCAAGCATTATTTAAAACGAGAGAGAGAGTAGAACTGAACACAAGCGCCACGACAAAACAACCATAACAACAGAACCAAACCCAATTTCTCTATTAATCATTTAAAATTTTTACCTCTGTTTCTAACACTTCTCACTAACTGTTATTTTAAGCTCCAGTAGCAGGATCAGATTTCTGCTGCCTCTGGGCCAATGAGTTATGATCTGATCTCAAGTTCCAAGGGAAACGCTCAAAGTTTTATTTTCCCCCAGTTGAGTAAACAGTGCTATGTATATTATCTCTCGTGTTAGAATAGTGTTGTCTTCACGTAAGACTCAAATAATGGTATTAGTCATTCATTTCCTTGAACACAGACACCCTCATGCGTGCTGACAGGTTTATAAGGATGCGGTGGCAGCCGCGGTTCTGGGAGCTGCTAGATGAGCGACTTTGATTTCTTGCAGTCCTGAGCGATGGAGCCCGGGTGTGTCTGGTTATTGTCCGCTTTCTCTCCCAGATGCTGGGCTTGTCTGGAAGATTAATACATTAACAAGAGCTGAAGGCCCAGGGTTGCACGTCTTCAGACATGTTTATTAGCAGATGGCACACAGGATTCAAAGGTCACCACAAAAGTGACATTTTAAAGTGAAACAACAATATTTATGTTCAGATAGTCTACTGATGAGATCATGTGGAAATGTTTTTGATTAAATTAGCTTATAAATGGTTGCCAATCTATAGACAACTTCAAATGCCAGGTCTGTTTACCAAATGTTTTCTTCTCACGCTCTCACCGTTTACATATTAATGACCAAGTGCTGTTGGCTGTTAACAGGAGGATCAGTGTATCTGGTTTTTACTTGCTGGGTTATCTATATATATATTTTTTTTTTCATTCTCAAAAATGTTATCTCCTCTAATGTGTGTTTTGAAATCTCACCTGCAATTATTAACGGCTTGGAAAGAGTTCGGATTCCACCGTGGAAATGCAATTGCTTTCCATTTCTCTAGTATAAATTGGGCCTCTGAGAGAGACCTAAACTTCAGTCTCTCAGGTAAGACCTGACGTTCAATATCATAAAAGGGCCACGAGCTGGATTCAGAAATACTCACTCCAGCTGCCTTCTCGCCTCTGCAGCCCTTGGGAGCCACTCTCGGGTGGCAATGCCAGCTTGTGTCTCTACAACACCGTGAAAAAGAAAATGCAGTCGAGAGGAGGGAATACCTCTTCTCAGCTGCTTTGCCTTTTCTCTCTCTTGTGCCCACAACTTAGCAGGAGTGTGAGTGAAAATGTGTACCTCGGAAAATGGTTTAGCTAGAAGAAAGCTCAGTGGTATGAAGCCAAAACCGATGTTTTAAGAGTTGTGCAAGTCTCTATAGCCAACAAAACTCACATAAATATTTCCAACAAAGGCATTAAAATGCAGAAATAATGATCAGTTAGTAGATTAAAACTTTCACAGATGTATTATGGGAAATGAAAATGACCATATATGCTACTGTTTCTCATTTATTTACATTTAATTGTGTTATGAATAACTCTGTAAGATATAGATATTGTTGTCCTGAGGGTTTTTTACCTTATTGCCATCTATACCTTATTTTTCTGTACAGTTACAAAATTAGAAATGTAAGAATACAGCAGAAGATTTACTCACTTTTCAAGAGAACCTTTTTCAATATTCATTGCCCCTTCCATTGGATCCAGTCCTTGTTCAGAAAATTGTTTCAAGGCACTTAAAGCTGCCTAAAAATGAAAACAAACACACAAACAAGGAGATCCATTCACTGACTTTAATGTTAATAAACAGGTAATTGTAAAAGAGAGCTGAGATGTATAGTAAAGACTATCATTTTCATTGGTCTAAATAAACGCTTTTTTGCATCATTTAGCAAATTTACATCTGAAAGGCTATATTATCATGGAGCAATGCATATACCACGAGGGCTTTATTTCTGTGGAGGGAGTAGGTGGGCAGAGGGATCCCCAAAGTCTCATGCCCTGTCCCTCATCCACAATTTTGTAAAACCACGAAGTTTTTATCTGCCAATGTAAAAACACCTAGTTTAAGCCGATTGCAGTTTGACAACGACTTTGCATAATTTCTCCTCACAGTACTGAAACTACCTTTCAGATGTGAGCACATCAGATTTTCTCAACTGAGGTACTCTTTCCAAAGTTAGCATAAAGGTATTGTTCAGTTTTATATTTAGCCCTAACCAAGTCACGGGCTGTGCGCAGAGAAGTGGACCCAAGACCCTTGTGCATACCGAGGGGATGGTAGGATGGTATTCTGCGAGGAGAGAGAAAATGTGTGCTCCTCGGGGGCCCGGGGGAGGCAGGCCTGGCCACAGCAGAGCCTCCCAAGGTGTTGATATGCCTGCCATGCGTGGGACGCTGAAGGGTGCGGACAGGCTGATGGAGCCTCGCTGGATAGCTGGGAGGCACCAAAAATGCGATGCTGATAAGATCTACATAACTTGTTGACACTCTTGTGCACGTTCCAAATTGTTATTTCTTCGAATAAGAATTTGGTTCCTCTTCCCTTCCCCCACCCCGCACCACTTTAAAGCTCGATTAGAAGGGCTTTGTTGAGTCTGGGATAGGTGTGAACGGCCCAGGGCTGTTTGAATCCTGGAGATCCTGCTGGGTCACACTTTGGTCATCTGTGTCTTCTCAACTGCCTTTGAAAAAGGGCTGACTCTTGCAGTTTCCCAAACTTTTATCTGCCAAAGTCCCCTTTTGGGTAGCTGACTAAGCATGTGATCCCTTGTAAATGTCATTATTTGTAATATAGTTTTTGACTTTAATTGTTAAGGTAATAGCCACAATTTTTTTAGAGTAGTTTTAGGTTTACAGAACAATCGAGCAGGGATGTCAGTTGCCGACCCCACTGCTCCTGGTCTTGGCCCCTGCTCATACTATTTAGCAGCCGGCGCACGCTGAGGTGGCAGGTAAGCGCTATTTCCAGTTGGGTAGAAGCAGTGCGGCCATCTCACTAGGGTACTATTACTGGTTGAGTTGTGTCCCTCCCACACACCAAAAAAAAAAAATCTGTATGTTGAAGTTCTAACCCCCAGTACCTCCAAATTGCGGCCTTATTTGAAAATAGGGTCATTGCAGATTTAAGTGAGATGAAGTCCTCCTGGATAGTGGGCCCAAATCCAATATGGCCAATGTCCTTATAAGAAGGGGAACTTTGGGTGTGGACACACACACACGAGGAGGACACCATGTGGGGAGGAAGGCAGAGATTGAAGTGATACAGCAGAAGCCCAAGGGACATCAGCGATCACCAGCAAACCGCCAGATGCTATGGAAAGGCCTGGAAGATTCTCCCTCACAGCCCTCAGAGAGAACCAACACCACCAACACCTCGGGTTTGGACTTCCAGCCTCCAGAACCGTGGGAAGATACACTGCTGTTGACTAAACCGCTCAGTTTGTGGTATTTTGTTATGAGAACCCTCACAAACGAATATAGGTACGTCATAATTCCTCCTTAAGCATAGTAGAACCTCTTTCTCCTCTCTGTGATGTTTCCTTTTATTATCTTTTTATTATAAAAATAGTCTTCATTACAGGACAATCATAATAGGTACAAGCCAAAAAGAAATGTGGAAATATTCACCGTCCCACCCACCCATTTACCACTTGGTATAATGTCTTTCCATATGCTTTCCTATCCCTTCCCCATATGCACACACTTTAACCTGGATCATATCCTGACACTGTTTTATAACCTGTTCTTTTCATTGAACACGAGCAGTCTTGCAAGTCGATAGAGACATGTCAGTAGCATCCTTTTGCCTCACTGCTCAGTGTGTTGACTTGATATGGCCTCTTCCATTTAGCCGGTCCCTACGGTTGGACATTCCGGACACTCCCAATATTGAAGCTGTTATTAACGCTGCATCCAGCTTTCCAATGGTTAAAATTTTTGTGTACCTCTCAATAATTTCCTTATTCCTAGAAATTGAGTTTCTGGGCCAAAAAGCAGGCACACTTTTAAAGATCTGACGTGAAAATACATACATACATACATACATACATACATACATACATACATACATAAATATCTGACAGGAGCTTTCTCTCTGCCCTCAGGGAGGTTGTGACCACAGCAGCAGTGTGAGAAGCCGATGTTCCTCTAGGTGCTTTGCAATTAACCTCTCAGAACCACTTTGTGCGGCACTCGAGCAAACCAGTTTTGTCATCTTATGGCCCCACCTTCTTTGTCATTTGTCCGTCCTGACCAAGTACTCTATTCACTAGATTTGGCTTTGAGTAATTCTGGCGGCTTTCAAAAAGTAAACTGACTCTCAAAAATCCAGATTTGGACAATTCTTCTCCCCCAGAAGAAATCTGCAGAGGGATTTGGCTCACTTTTAGATTCATTCAGCTGGGTGACCCCTGAGGTCCTTTCCAGTCCTGGAGTGCTGGGGTGCTGGACGGACTTCCTAGGTGCCTCACTGTGGACAGCCCTGTGGATGTGCACACTCCCATGGGCTTGTGACATGCACCTGAGCTCTGGAGGCCTGCCTTACATATGCGTGTATGGGGTGAGGCACTGGGCCCACTCACTGCTGAGCTCTCAAGACCAGTCCATGCCTGACCTTTCCAGATAGCCCAACTTCACGGGGGAAGGGGGATGGTGCTAATGAACTTAGAGGTCTTGGTATATTCAACAGTTTTGAACAAATGAACTACTCCTCTTTTTTCTGATCCTTTAGTCTGTGAATTATTGTCAGGAATGCTAATTTTTATCAATTTCTTCCCAAACGAACTATTGTGGAGGGCTGTTCAGTACCCCCAAATTTAAATTTGCCATGTGATTCAGCAAATTGCTGAATGAGACACCCAAGAGCGCCAGGGCTTCTTGGTCCTGCTTTATCCCCAACGAGGTCAAAATGGCAACCAAAAACAACTTTTAAAAACAATTTTCAAAAGTCATTCATAGGCTAATTGTAGCCCCTTTTCCCTAGTTGTTTTTGGAATGCTTGTTGCCTGAATGCCTGGAACCAAATGTCCTGCTCCACCAAGTCTAGGACCCAGCGACACCTGCTCTGTTCCATCCAACCAGAGATGCACACATGAGACGCAGGCCAGGTCTCAGAGAGCAGGTTCGGTGTTTTAGCTCTTGCAAAATCTCCTGGATGATTTTATCAACATGTCAGGCAGGTCCCCGTGCACTTTCAAAACGCCTGTCATCACTCAGAGAATGTACTGCAGGCTGGAATGGCGGCATGCTCTTTCACTCAATGCCATGAATGGATTCTCAGAATTCTTGCATGGCTGCTTCCCTCCAAAGGTATGCTTAAAGGCTTCCAAAAAATATTCCCTTATTTATCTGATGAGATAATTCAACCCACATCTTATTGATAACCCTGAATACAATTGCTTAGAAATAGGACAGGACTTCTTGGGCGCCTGGGTGGCTCAGTTGGTTAAGCAACTGCCTTCGGCTCAGGTCATGATCCTGGAGTCCCGGGATCGAGTCCCGCATCAGACTCCCTGCTCAGCGGGGCATCTGCTTCTCCCTCTGATCCTCCCCCTCTCATGCTCTCTGTCTCCCATTCTCTCTCTCAGATAAATAAATAATCTTAAAAAAAAAATAGGACAGGACTTCTTACTAATTTATAAAAGACAATAAAGACGGTTTATCTTCTCTGTAAACAGCAATAGCTTCCATTTGATGGACATCACTCTGCCATAGTCATGAGACCAGGCCCTTTACCTGAGTGATATCAGGTGTTACCACAGTCCTGCAGGTGGGTCCTACCCATGAGGAATTCAGTAACCTACTTGAGGTCACACAAGTAGCGAACGGAGAGCAGAGATTTGGACCCGGCGCACATTCTTGACCAGATTCCTTTATTTTCTTCAAACCTAGCCAATTTCAGCATGACTTCTTTCAATATCGTATTTCCAGATCACTCTTATTCCTTCCTCCGCACTCATTCTATGAATGATTCCCCACAATAGTTCCTGGAGGTAAATTCATATAATTATCCCCACTTTCTAGAGAAGAGGTTTATTGTGGGGACCACAGTCAGCCACCAGTCTCGAGCCTTCTTGTGGTCCCTGGGTTGACTTCTGAGGCCTTGTTCAGCGCTTCTCTAACACTTGTAGTTTGGGCTAAAATTAAATTGCTATAGGAGTTATTTTGTCACTTAGAATTACCCAACGACTCCCAAACAAGGTAACTTGACTGTTCATTTCTTAACATTCTGAGGATCCTAAGTCTTGCTCACTCTATTTGCTCCCCTCCCCTCTATTGTTCTGAGAAGAGTTCATTCCTCACCTGCACGGGGTTGCCAGCTGGAGGGAAAAACAAGCTGCAGGGTTTGCCTGGGACTGTGGGCTGTGGGGTCCTGCAGCGAGAGGAGGTGCTGGGATTGCAAAGGTGAATGGACCAAGAAAGGATGGAGGGCTCGGCAGTGATTTATAGAGAGCGATAAGCCAAATATGTTTAGGAAAGCCGAGATGGGCAGGGGCTGCCGACCACGTGCCTCCTCCCCCAGGTGCTAATAGAACCCTGATCCTGCCGCTTCCTCTCCCCCTTGTCATGAGCTCAACCGGGGAGCTCCCACCCTACCCCCAATTCATCGGCCGCTGCTTTCCCAGAAAGGATAATTTACAGATGAAAAAATTCCATCTGTGAGATGGGTGTGCTTCAGTTTCTGCAGCAAAACGGCTCCGAGAAGAGGACAATGCAGCAAAGCCCCAAATAGCCCCCTTCATTTA